ATGGCATGATGACATGATGGTGGAACAATGATGGTAAGAACTGAAATGAAATGACGATGAAAATGAAAACGTGAAAAAATGGCGGATGACAATGTGAACAAAAAGAACCTGACAAAAACGGAAAACGTATTTCCGGAATGGGGCACCACAGCTTAGATTTCTTAAACGATAAATAAATAAAAAGCATTCCTTTTTATGGTAGCCATACAAAGAATGAAATTTCAACTCGATACATAGAAGAAAAACAAGACAGTGGGAATAAAATTACAAATAATAAAACAATATGAAGAGGATCTATATGTACATAATTATTTCAAAATACGAGGGGCATTTCAAAAGTTCTGAGAACTGTTTAATATGAAATTTACTTTTTCACAGATATCATTGAATCTGATATCATTTAAAAGATCTGAAAAATATACACATATTGTGACGTCACTTTATAATTTTTATGACGTAATATCTCCCAAAATGACGTCATAATTCCGTATGCTCACGATACTGGCCATAAAAATGACGTAACAAAAGACACAATTTGATCAAATTAAAATTTAAAATACAACTTTTGCTCATAACTCGGGCGCAAGCTATTGGAGGCAAATGCCAGTTGGTGGGATGTTTACATAGGCTACAATCTATCATTTGGTGTTCTATTTCGCCGATCTTCTTGTTCTGAATTGGTTTAAGCGATTGTCAAACATTGCATGTTTTTATCGAATCTCGCTCAAAATATTGCGTTAAACAGACCTAACTGTGAGAAAAAAGCAAAGTTGACAATCAAAGAAAAATAGACAATCGTGTTACAAACTTTTATGGCATCAATTCGTCAGGTGTTTTAACGAGATTTGAGGGATTGATGAAGGCTAAAGAGAAGTTAAGTTTAGTGTGCCCCATATTTTCTCGTAAAATCCAAAATAGCGCGGGCGCAGTTGTAACTCCACCGTACCTCCATATATTCGCAAAATTTAATTCACGGAAATTAAATAAGATTTAACATGTCTGTGTAATTTATAAACCTTTTTGGGAGTCAAAAGTCAAAAGCAGTAATGAGTTCTTGGGCGTCGATTTTGATTCAATTAAAAAAAAATACGCAAAGAAACAAGTCAGGGGCAAGACTTTTGAACATTTTATTTGAAAACGGTAAGAGTGCTGTTACTTAAAATATATTTGTTGAAAACTACATTAATATACTTCAGTTTTATACAGAAAATGTTTGATTTCATACAGTGGAGAGCTTTATAAACGACCGAAAATCCAGTGGTATCATGTAACTTAACACTGATTCTATGTAAAAATCAAAGAAATTGGAAGAGGCCTGGCCACTTGATGTCACAGATTTCAATGATTTTTTAGGTGCTGACTTTGTTTCACCTATCTTTCACAAAAATGAATAAAAATCAAAAAAATTATCATCCGTTGCCATGGAAACCAACCAGGGTATCTTAAAGTGGTTTATAGCTGTGAAATTAGCCCAGTTTTGACCCTTTTTAATCCCACAGTAAATTTAATTCTAATATAAATAGCAAACAATCATTATAAATTTTATTCTTCCTCAGATAGATCTATTAAAACCTGCAATCATAATAAGTCTGTGATAAAAGGTATTTGCATAGTGTTCATGCAAATTTTTATTATTTGGCATCGTGCCAAAAAGTGCATTTTTGCTGTTGTTTCACACATGATTTTAAAACATTTGGCAAATACATGGAATAAATGTAATTATAAACAGTAAACAAGCATAATCTTGACTTGTAAAAAGCAAAATAAAATTTATGGAGAAACATCACACTCTAGAGAAACCATGGTAAGAAATTTCTATGTTTTTGGCACTTTCTCTATTTCTGGGTGCATTTTAAATAAATTTATCAAGCAATGAGAAGAAATGTAATTGCTAGACAATAACAAACATAATCCATTTTTTAAAAACACATTTGAAAAACAAAAATTAAACTTCATACAAAAGAGCAATCATATTGTTAATATTGTATATTTTGGCACTATGCCAAAAATTACATTTTTGGCAATATTTCATGCTTGATTTAAAAATTTTATGGAATGAATGTAATAGTCAACAGTTATCAACAGAATCTAGACCTTTTTAAATGCTTGAACACTGAACAGATTTGTGAAGAAACATGGCACATAAAAAATTGTGAAAATTATTTAAATGCAATTTTGTTACATTTCAGAGCAAATTAAATATTTGGCAAAAGATGAGGAGAAATGCAATTTGTAATACACATGCATACAATGTAATCTTTACTAAAAAGATTTTAACAAAAATTTGTAACAGAACAAGATAAGCATGTGTATTTTCCTTCATTAATATACACATATTAACAAATATATACATTTGTGGTATCTCTCTATTATTTAAGAAATGAATTTTATAGCTATACCCATTTTATATGGTATAACTGAATTGGGGCAATTTACAAATCAGTTTATAAAAATAATAAATTATGGCAACAAACGCTGTTGTCATAATAATGTGAGCTGTAATGTATTTAATAAATATTGTTTAAATTAATAATGTAAGCTGTCAACAGTGACACTGTGTCTACATATACATAATAAATATGCCTGACTGAAATCCTTTATTTAAGGTTTTGATAAAATTTAATACTTGATTGCAAATTGACTGTGACTGGGACAAGTGTCTCCATCAATCCCTTTCTGGGCAACCGAAATTCTGACAATTATTTATCATCAATCTTTGCACATGTTTCTTGTGGCTTTTTAGCTTTTACTTTCAATTTCCACAAATACATATATCCCTAGCTACTAATCTGATCACAACTACTGATCATAGATAGCCTTTAACAAAACATTCCCCTCAAAATACCCTAGAATTCTTTGCCTGATGAATTTGAAGCTTATTAACAGCTATTCAAGCCGATTTACACCCTACAAACTTTTCATTAACTGCAATAATTTTATATTCAAAATATTCAATTCTCTGTCACAAATGTATATACAATGTATTAGTAATGAATAACAAGAGTGAAAATTTCAATGCCTATAGAAGTGAGTTAGCTCGTGATCAAATCTTGATCACATCACTAACCCACTTTAATTCCCATGAAAATGTTAATCTTGTTATCTATTTCTAAATTGAAGCATTATATATGTGAAAGAATTTCGTCTTTCAGATCATTCAAATTTCTATCAGAAGATGCTGCCAAGAAATCTCCAGCATCACATTTTCTGTCTTTCTGAGAGAGTCTTGAAAAGAAACTTGCTACTTGTGTTGGTGTCAAGTAGTCCTCCATTCCGAAACGCTTTCTTCCATTTATAAGTACATAAGGCATGTCTCTTGCCACTTTACTTGGATCCTCCTTTTTCCCAGTAGTTTTGCCTGCCTTGAATATTTCAGTAAGGTAGTCTTTTTGGTCCTCAGTAAACAAAACCTTTGGCTTTTTCATTTTCAATGCCCATCCAGTTTGTTTGATTGGCTCTGTGCATTCCCTTGTAATAATGCCTTCATCATATGACGGACAAGTTGTATTCAAAGCTGACAACTTGTTCTGATACATAATTTTGCACCTATCTAGAAGGTTTCTCTCTGATCTGTCACTGCAGTTACCTAGAAGATTGTGATTTTCCAGAGAAGTTAAGGTACGAAATGATCTGTCGCAGTTCTCATTGGGACAACTAAACACATGATCTACCGTTTTCCTTTTTTTTGGTACCGACTCTGAAAATTCATTTCTTTCTGTAATCTCTATCTCATCATCTGAAATGAAATGCAAACTATGTAAAATACAAAGTGTTCATTGTTTGCATAAATCAAATAAACAAAACAATCATGAATAAAGCTCACATGATTTGATTCAATTCATAAAAGGTATAGTTGGGAGAAGGACTATTCAAGTTACACATTGTTTTTATCCCTGATCCTTGCAAAAACATATCCGAAAGATAAATAACATATAAATTCAGCCATAAACTTAATGGAAATGTATTTTATCATATATTACACTTTCTGCAGCAAAACTTGTTTAGTATGAACATGGATATTGTGAATTCACAGATACATGTATAATGAAGATATCTTGGATCACCAGCTGTATAAATTTATAAACGAATTCCTTGTACAGATAAAGCGAATTACAGATATATAGGGAAGTAATTTTATCCAGGTCTCTGTGAGTTTTTTATAACCAAGTTTCACTCTCGTTACTTTCATATATTTTACACAGATTGACTGATTCTGTAAGGCATGAAATAAAATATTGTTTGTTTGATGTTGCCTACTGACCCACTGAACACGCATCAGACCCAAACTTTTTTTAGCCATTTTGTAATATTATTTTTTTTCCCCAATTTTTCAGGACATTGAAACTGTTTCATTTTCATTTTTTTTTCTTTCATAATCAGTAGTTTATACCAAGAGTGGAGCGTATTCATGTCAAGAAGGTATATGAATAAAAAGAATGCCTACCTACCTACCTAGTCTAAAAATTATAGGTCAGCAACTGCAAACAAAGAATTTTTTAAGCTTGGCCTAAATTAATCAACTTTTAATTTTTTTTCATAATTTGCATTTAATAAAAGCCATTATGACATAAAAACTGTCTGATATAAAAACAAAATTCACGAAAACAATATCCACTGTGTATTGAAGAAAATATATTTTTAGAAATCATTATTTGAGGAGTGTGGCTAAAAAGGGTAGCGAAACCCAGGCTGGGCCGGGACTTTGCAAACTAAAAACTATGTTTTTGATAATTATGAAATAAATACTCATTTTTCACGAAATTTACGAACATAGTTTATATCTATAAGATTTGCCTTCGCTGAGAGTTTTAACTCAAAATATTGTGTTTTTCAATGATTACTGCAGATTGTTCTTTTCCAGGTGACTAAAATGGGTAATTTTCAAAATCCCGGTCTGGCCTGGGTTTTGCTCCTATTTTAGTCACACTCTTATTTGAGCCTTAATTTAAGTGAGCTTAACATACAACTTGAATTTTTTTTAAATGTTAAAATATACCTGGAGAAAGAACAGCAGGATTTACTTCATTTGTCCATGGCTTGATGACATTTAACTGCATAAATGGCACAGTTGCAGATGTCCATGGTAATAATTTGCCTAGAAAATATATTTGAATAATTTTTTTATTTTTCTTTTTACTTAGTTAATGTATGATAATCTCATTTAGAATAACATTCCATTTTACTTTTTCAACATTTCATATTAATAAATAATCTGAGAAAAGTGCCTAAAATAGGATATCAACTTTTTGATACATAACCAACTGCTTCAGAAAAACTCAAAATGTAAACTTTTGTGGTTATTGGCTTTGTTTTTGGAAGAAAAGATTTGACATTGGAAACTATACATCATATGAAGTCTTAGAAGTTCAGTTGTACCTGGCCCAATATTGTATGCCTTCCATACTCGCAATCCGTCAGGGCTAAACTCAAAGTTGTTCAGAGATGAAATGTTAGGAATGGCTTTCACACTTGCTTTCTCAGCATCAGCATCGATAACTGGAGTGACGACTTTGATTTTGTACTGTCCTTTTTGCTGAGTGTCAATAGCCTACAAAATATGGTAAGGAAACCGGTATGATTAAAATGGTATGAAACCGTATGATATAAAAACCTATTCCACTATGATTAAAATATGATTTATAAGTTCCTGCTGCAATTCTACTATTTTGTCTCTTGTAATTTTGAAAAAGACCCACTAATACTTTGATATTTGAGACTAAAAAAACATTATACATAAAAAAAAAATGATCAGTTGCAAGAAATATAAATCAACATGTGAATATTTAGACAAATGACTATGATATTTCTTGCACAAGAAAAGTTGCTTTTTACGCATTTATAACTGTTACAACCAGCTCTGATTCTTTTTGTAAATATATTTCATTCTTGATTAAAATAAATTTATTCATTCCATGTCATTATTTTCTCAGCATATAAGATATTGACTAAAAGTAATTTCTAGCATGAAGAAGACAATACTGATCAATGACAGTTAGAGGTGGATAAGGCAGGCAGTTTACGGAAATATCTATCATATACAAAATTCTCTTTTGATTCAAATAATTCTTTTCAACACACCTTTTTCATTTGTGAAGCATCTAGAACATCATTTCCTTCATTGACATATCGCTTTATGGCTGACTTAATATGTGATGCTTTGCGATCGCAAGGGCCCTTTCCGTCCTGGGCTTCACAAAAATTGTGCGTCTTAATCAGTGGATGCAGTTCCTGATATAATGCATGAAGAGTGTAGGTACTCTTGTAACATCCTGCGTTGTCGGACCATAAATGAACTTTCTGTATGTTCTTTCTACTTGCAATATCCTTGACAACGTCTACTATCAATGCTGCTGTGAGTTTGGAATCTTGCGGGGACTGTGTATCAAGGACATGTACATAGGTAACCAGCTCAAAAATATCATTGTGCTTTGTAGCGCACACAGCAATGTGCCAATTAATGCCTCGCTTTCCAAACCAGTCAGTTTGTCCTTCTCTGAATTTTCTGGGTAGGAACTTCATGGCCCAGTCAGCAACAACGAAAAGATCTCCATCCTCAAGGTTGGCAGTGATGTCTACTCTGGCAACATCTTGGTTTTTTGATCTCAGTACATGTGCCTTGAGGTCCTTAATGGCAGTCACAGACCTTTGGACCTACAGAGAAATTTTGAAAGAATTTCAAATACGTTAGAAAAATCATGTGGTAAAGTTATACAGTTTGCATATTTTTATGCCCCCGTAAACGAAGTTTCGGGGGTATATACTTTTTGTCGTGTCCATCTGTCTGTCTCTCTGTCTCTTTCTTTGTCTGTTTGTCAGCAAAAACTTTAATCTTGCCCATAACTTTTGATTTAGTGGAGCTATGACTTTCATATTTCACACTTGTACTCCTTGTGACAAGACCTTTCTTTGGGTACCACAAAATTTGACCTTGACCTTGGAGTTTGACCCACTTTTACATGAAAATTTTTAACTTTTACTTTGGTCATATCTTTTGAACAGTAGATACCAGGACATTTATACTTCACATATGTAATTATTGTTAAGAGACCTTTCATTGGATACCAACAACTTTGACCTTGACCTGTAGATTTCCGTACTTGTGAAAAAACTTTAAACTTTGATCAGCAATTTTTAGCCCCATCCTACACCCTGGGGTCATGATTTGAACAAACTTGAATTTACACAACCTGAGGATGATTTCACAGAAGTTTCATCTTGCCTGTCTTCATTGCTCTTGAGAAGAAAATTTTTTTAAAAATTTTTTCTATATATTCTCATGTAAAACTTTGATCATCATCAGCCATTGTGGCCCCATCCTAGGGCTACCCCCCGGGGGTCATGATTTTGGTAGAAGACTCACTACTTATTACAATCATGCTAACAGTTTGACTGCTTGATGTCCAGGAGTACCCGGACAAAGAAGACGATTTTTAAAGATTGCATTGATTTTAGTGGTTTTCCACCTATACCCCTCAGGGGTACAGGGGCTATGAATTTCACAATTTTTGTTCACCTTCACCAATAGATGTTATATGTTAAAATTGGTTAACACTGGCTCAGCAGTTGTAAAGAAGCTGAAAATGTTCAAAAGTTTACAACTGATTGACAACAAAACAGATAGCAATTGGTCACCTAAGTGACTAAAGTGACCTAAAAATCCCATATGTATATTCACATATATATTTTCTTTGACTAATTTTACAAACCTTAAACATGTATGCATCAGGATTGTCCCAGTCCATGGTTTTGGTCAGTTTCGTAAGTGATGACAAAAGTTCATCCAGTTCATTGCATTGCAGACAAGCATGAGTATGTTCATGAGAACAATTCTCTTCGAAAAATATGCTGTCAACTTGACTAAGGGCATGAGCAAGGCAGTGGTCAGCTACATTTGAAGATGTTCTGACATGCATCTGAAATTAAAATGGACAAAATTTACAAAATTGAATTGGTGTCAATTTCTATGTATCATATTGTATTTTTGAACTGATTTTGAAACTAGTATGTTATACAATATAACATACCTTGGGGCAGTTTATGCTTTATATTGTACATTTATAATGTAAAACATAAGTTAAAATTAGCTTCATTCCTTATAATTCAATTTCAGTATAGACAATAAGACAATTTTCCCCTAAAAATGATTTCAAAATGAATAATTTTTTAAAAATTAATATTGAGGGGAGTAATACGTTTTTGATGTAACTCATTGTGACAAAGGCAACTTATATCATATAAAATATAAAAGAAATCTTTTATCCAATCATACTGTGTTACAACTAAAATCAAATCATTCATTCATATAAAGTAATACAATTTAGAAATATCTTACTTTGTAATCAGCCTTTAAATAATACTTGGCTTTCATGAGGTTCTCCAACATTCTCTTCTGCTCATTCAAAGGAATTTGCATTTCCCGAACAACATGTTCTAATTCACGAAAAGCCTCACTAGCTTCTGCAACATAGTAGTCAACTCCTTCAACAGATCTGCGCACTGCAGCACTACACTCTGACAAAATCTTGTACATGGTGCTCTGTCCTAGGAAAACAAAATAATATACTCAATTTCCACAAATTCAATTGATTATTAACATCAATGAAACCACCTTCAAAGAAAAGTTAAATGTTCTAGCTTAAAGAATTGCTTATCGTGTGTAAATTAGTATGAAATATTAGTATGTTAATGTTCATATTATATAGTCTTAAGAGTTACTAAGCAAATAAAGTACATTACCAATGGCTTCAAAGTTTTCTTCTAAACACAGCTGGGAATACTGTCTTACAATTGTCGCAGGTGCTAAACATCTGATGACATATGGTGTTTGAATTAACTCCCCTGTAGTTAGGGTTAGGGTCTTCTCCCCCAGCGGTAGGTCCTTAATGACATGACTTGATGTTATGAAGTCCAAGAAATGTTCAAGTTTTGAAGAGTCTACTTTTTCTCTAGCTTGTTTTTCATGTGGCACTGGTACTCCAACTCCCAATTCCCTAGCATGTTTCTTTGCAGAGTAAAATTTGTGTTGAGTAACAGATGGAATCATGGCATTAACGTCTTGAAAACTGGCCTGGGTGGTAAGAACAGACAATATTTGACGCCGAATTGTTGGTGTCTCAGCTTTTAAGTAACTCTCGGTTAAAGCCTCAATAAGTGACGGAGACTCGTAGTGAGTGTAAGACGTTTCTAGTTTTGAAAACATGGCATCTTTCAAGGCATCACTCTCTCCAGGACATATTGTCTCTAAAAGAAGGGAGAGGCATTCATTTGCTTTGGCAGCATATCTTCTTCTTGTTCGCTGACTTGAACTGACAAATGACTCACGAAGTGTTTTAACTGGGCTCTTGTTGCACGCTGCTAGGAACTCGTTCAGCTTTGATAGGCGATCAATACCAGAGATAGATGATTCTGAGACTTGGCTTTCTTGGCTACATGTATCCATTGATGTCTCTTGACTGGATTCCATATTTTCCTACAAATACAAGGAACATACGAACAATAGGAAAAAAGTAAACTTTAAAAAAAAATATTAATGGTTAACTATTTTAACCTTTGTTGAGATTGACCTATGGCCTTAACCTTTCAGTCTGTCAAGCATAATTAAGAATTTTCAACAACTATGGTCGCCCGCGTGGCGCAGTGGTTAGAGCGTCTGCTCTAGAGTCGCGAAGTAAGGAGTCAATCCACTGCGGGACGTGGAGACCGGTCTTTCAGATGAGACCGTATAAACCGAGGCCCCGTATTGCAGTAGGTGCTGGGCTGCTGGCACGAAAAAGCCCCTCACTGCTCAAAGGCCCTGAGTGCCGAGCATAGGACAAAATTTGTAGCCCTCCACCGGCAAGTGGTGGCGTCTCCATATGAGTGAAAAATTCTCGAGAGGGACATTAAACAACATACAATCAATCAATAAATCAATCAACATATTATGCTGTCAACATGGTCAATATACATGATATATGTTGATCATATTGAACACAATTTTATTGACATGGCTTTCTCAAAGTAAATTGTATTATTATATTAATAAAATTAGCTGAGATTCAACATTGTAGTAAAAATAGTGTTTAATATATTTTCCTGCACAAATCATGTCAAATGATCTTTTAAGTGAATATATGAATCATACATGCTTATAAGATTTGCTTCAGTGTTGGTCATTAAATCAGGCTTGGTGATATAATACCCAGAAGTGACCTTGAGCTTGCAAAATCACAAAATGACCTAGACAAGAGACAAACCCCCTGGTCGCATAAATCTGTGTAAAATATGTATATTCAATGTTTTTCCTAAAAAATAAAAATATGAACCTGACATTAATTACTTTTTATCTATAGGGTCAGGCTATATGACAACCTCAAATATACATCTCAACAGGTTCTGCTTTACAAAATATTGTCCTGAGATTTTCATACAGATCTGACAATTTTGTACAGACAGATGGATGGATTATATGCTGATTTCAATGTTTGTTTGTTGTTGTTTTGTTTTGTTTTGTTTTTTTTTTTTTTTTTGGGGGGGGGGGTATAATATTGGTATAAAGACGGGTAAGGAGATATGAAATTTACATTGAAATAAATTTATGATCTTACATTTTCATCGTTTTGTATTTGAATTCTTGGTCTCAGAAGCAATCCACTACATTCCATACTCTGTTCCATTGCCTAAAATGAAATACGTACAATAAAAATTACAAATTGATCATTCATTGGACTATTGTAGAACCAATGGTCAGAGCAATACATTACTTCCTTAGTTACAAATTTATTGATTTAAAACTTCAGTTGATTTGAGAATATCTTACATATCTAAATGATAAATTTAACAAATACATGTATAGACACTTACTGTCTCACAAGTCTGTACACCATCTTCTATATTGCCTTCCTTAAATAGCTTAGCACGACAAGATGCACAGATAGCTGAAAGTACAGAACAGTGCCAATAATCAAATCAGATAATCAAGATAATTTGTATATAAATAACTTCAGAATTGTACATCATATTTAAATCTTATACCAGTGGATATCTGCTTAAAAGATGTTTAAATTCTAAAGTAAAAAAGATTTTTTAAATATGAAAAATATGCATTCAGGTAATGACGGTTATAAATATTTCTGAATTATGTAAATTAAAATTGGTGTATAGTAGTTTTAATCTGCCTCCCCCTAAGTAGTAGAGGATAATATATGCCATAGTCATCCTTATTGATAGCACCTGTCCATAAAAAAATTAAAATACAAGAAGGCTCTGCAATATTCACCATTACTGGAGTATATTAAGAAGTTTATTCTGATTTCATTACATATGACATGTAAACATGATTTCCAGTTATCAATCCTTTCATTCATGATTATTTAGAATTTGTGATAATATTTTTTAAATAAGAAGCGTTCATGGGTCTGTGTCTACTTTTACCTGTAGTACTGTAACATGTATATTTTTGAAGTTATACACTAATTGCCTAAATCCCAATGGAAGAAAATTTTAGGGGGAAATGCAATGATATATCATAAATCAAACTTAGTAATCGTTTTGTATTCTTTTTAACTGAATATCATTTTATGAAACATAGGATTTATACAGCTATAAATACATGTATGGTCGTTTCTCATCAGTTCGTGGTACCCATTGATTCGTGGTATTTTCTTTTTCCATCATTGCGCGCGCGTAATGCACTATTCCAGAAAATTATTTTGAGAAATCGAAAGTAAAGTTCTTGATGTAAGCAAAGGGGTATAATTCAACTAAAATGATGGAAAATTTGGAACGCAATGCAAAAAATATACAAATTACACTTACATCCATTTTATACGCTTTTGGGTGACATACCTGTTTTCCTAAAAATATCTAAACGGGTACAAAATAGGAAGTAAATTGATTTCAAATGAATTTCCAGATGTTGTCTGCATGATTGACTGTTTATATCAAGTGCTGTTGATGGGTATTGAATAAAGTATGGAAAGTTGCTAGCGTTAAAAATCAGTGTGTTTTTTTTTATTCATCATAACCAGCAGCCAAATAACAAGTGCTGTAAAAACTATAAGATATTCGTCCTTCAAATTAAATTATTTTCTCTCTTTTTGAACCAGGAATTAAAATACAAACACCGGGGGTAAATTCCATATTCATTCAAATATTTTAATCCTAATTATAAATTTAAAAAAATCTTTTTTTCAAAACATCTTTTGCGTTGCGTGTTATGTATTTTTTCTGCAATTATCTTTAGAAAATTATATAAAGGTATTTGCATTAAACTAAATAATTTTTGGAATGAAACATCGATTTTGGTCAATATTTATATCTTTTTTATTTTGTATTTGTGCCTGAAATAGCACGCCATAAATAATTCAGATTTTGATGACGTACCACGAATCAATGAGACGCTGAATTTTTCTACAGTGGTGTAAACACCACACATTTTATGGTGAATTTTGACACAGATAAGTGATGAAATTACACAATTTTTTACTTAACAAGAGATTAGATCCTACTATTATTTAATCACAATAAAACTAAGCTGAAAGTTGTGTTTATCGATTTTATTTCATTACGAATCGGTAAGTACCACGAATCCATGAGATACCAGGCTAAATACATGTAGCATACTTACGCGTTCCAACGGGAAGAATTGTGCCATATTTTCTATTGATGTCTTCCACTTGGTGAATTGTCATTTGCCTATCTGCCTTTTGTTTTCCCGACCTTTTTTGATTTCTTAACTGGTGAGACGCTAAATGCTGCGGAATCCCGCAACATTTCCCTCTCCTGCGCAGGCGATTTTTCTCTTGGATTGAACTTAAATGATTTTTGCAAATGTTAAATGAATTTGATAATTCACCGTAAATTAAACCCGATTCTGTCAAAATAATGGAACTCAAAGTTGATGGTAATAAATCAAGGGAACTAAAAGTTTCTACATCAGAACAAACAACTAAAGAATGAAAGGAATGAAAACTACAGCTTCCATCTGCTGACATTTTGCAAACAAATGAAAGCAGTTCTCTCCTTCAATACAAAAGAGTACATTCAAGAACTATAACTCTGCCGTTGTTTTTTCTCCAAGTTCCCAAGTAATTGAATCAAATTCCAGATTTATTTTTGATTTCACCATAAATTTAAGGTTTCCATATTTTAGGATAATTCTTTTATTATTTTTCTAGCACAAATGTTTACACTAGATGACTTGACAAAACATTTTTTTTTAATCTCAAAACTGGAATTGTTGAACATTGAAATTTACTGAAAATTACCATTTACACATTATTTATGAGATAGGTAAATAACTTTTTTGCTCTTAAATGCTTGAAACAAACTTATAAACTTGTTTTTGTATTTGTCTTTTAAATTTATTTCTTTTTTAGGAAATTATTTAAAGTTTCCAATAATTCCACTGTCGGTTGTTATGTAATGTGTTTCCATGACAACCGTTGCTAAGTCAAATCATTGCACAAGGTTTTTACCAGTTAGACACCAATATTTGATAATACACAAAGTTTCATCTAAATCCAAGACATACCGTGGCCAAAGGATTTTGATTCTTACATAGAATCAGTGTTAAAATCTTAAATGAATGCCGATGATAGCATAACCGGGCATAAACCGTGCTAGTAAACAAACCATTCAATGAAATATGGAATTCTTGATAAACGGTATCATACTCCTAATCTACTTCTTTGCAAATAAAAAAAATTCTTTGAAATATTTCTTCAAATAAGCCTTTGGCAGAACTTTTAAAATTGTCTAATGTTGATAAAAACGCGACTTTTCAGTATGCTAAATATTCTATACTATGACGTCATTTTTCGCAGATATTACGTCATAAAAATTACAAAGTGACGTCACGATATTTGTATATTTTTCTGATCTTTCCAATGATATCAAACTCAATAATTTCCGCTAAACGGTTATTTCTTTATTACACAGTTCTCAGGACTTTTGAAATGCCCCTCGTATTGATATAAACAGTTTCATATTTGATACCTTTCCGCTATATTAAACGCTAAAATGTGCATTGTGTATAAGTAAGGAATCAATGCATGAAATAAATGATTATTGATATAACCAGTCTTATTATCTTCTTATCTGAATTTAAAAGGTTCAAATAAAGTAAAATTTATATATTAAAAATTATTGTTGTGTAAAAAATAAATGAAAAAAAAAAACAATCTAATTACAGTACTATTCATCTGCTGAGAATTTACAAATAATATGTATAGAAAAAAATATGGTATTATTTAAAATGCTTACCTTCCTCGCTGACTTACTTGTATTTACTACTGAAAATTTTCTGCTCGACAGACCTTTAAATATACTTTTAAAATGGATTATGAATGAAGGCAAAAGGTGACCCAGATCCGTGTGAATTTCAGCGCTGAGCTTTTA